GCATGTCAGCTCCAGCCAGCCCAGAGGTCTGGAGCTGCCATTTAGGGGAGAAGACTGGGCCAGCTGCCAAGACTCACCATCCCACCTCCACAAGCTGAAGAAGGTCCTGCTAACAATCCATGATTAATTGCCGGGTGGTTTTCGCTCTGGGTCACAAGGTGATAGGTGTACACACGTGTGGAGTGCGGTTTATCTTAATTATCAATGTAGCTATAAAAGGTGGTGGGAAGCACAGGGTGGCAGCTCTGACAATTTATTCATTGCCTCAGTGCTTTGTTGGTCAGTTTGTGCTAAAGGAAGAATACAAACTGCATTTACAAACCATTTCTGTGTTTGGCTGGTTTCATTGACCCTTCGGAACCTGACAGCAGCAGCCCCCAACCTTTTGTGCACGAGGGACCAGTTACCTGGAGAGAAATTTTTCCACAGGTTGGAGGAGGGGGGCTAGATTCGCATGCTGCCTGCATCCTGCGGATGGGGCTTCACTTGTTTGCATGGCCAGGTTTCTGGCATGCCACAGACCAATGCCAGTTCACGGCCTGGGGATTGGGGGCCCCTGGCATATACTACCTAATAATGTAAATTAAACCATACAGGAAGAATTCATTGTAGCAAAGCTGGTTTCTAGCATCTATCAGCCTTCTCTGACTGCCACTATATGCAAAATTAAATTTACACTGCATTATAATGGTCTAAGTCAGAACAAAATGTGTGTGAAAACTCAATCTTTACTTTGGTAGCTGACTGTTGATTTCCCCAGCAGTCATCTGCAGAACAGTTATTGGGATGCATGAAAGAATATATTTTATTGCGGCTATGCCTGGACAAAATAACTTTTCTGTTCTTACTGTTAAAAAGTGATGTGTCTCTCCTCTTCCAGAAAACAATGCGTGTAGGCATGTGAAAATGTGTGGGCAGTTTCTGATATAAGACGTGGGCAATCTCTTGGGAGTCACAGTGGAATCTAAATGTTTGCAATGACATTCTACTAGTAAGCTTATGTGGAGGCTGAAAGAATTTCCCAAAATGAGTAGGTTATTATATATTCCACCTCCAGTTTGGTGCACAGGATGAAAGGTCACAGTCACCCAGAGTCAGATTTACACCAAAGATGTTCTAATGTAGTGGAGAGAGTAGAGTCTTTACCAAGAATCTGCAGTTAGTAAGATTTTTGAAATCTTGGTTTGCTTAAGGATCTCTTATTATCATTAATTGGAGACTGCTATCATATATTGTGGGTCATATCTAACAAGTAAAACAAATGGAAAATGCAGTATAAAAATGATTTGTATGGTGGCATAATAGGGGCAAATTATAGAGAAAATGTCCTGCAAAATGCATTGCTATGAGTGAAGCATCCTACAACTTTCTTCATTATGCAGGGAAATCAATTGAATTATCAATGAGAGGTGGCTATTAGCTTCCTCTTAAAAATTTCCAGAGATGGAGACTCCACAGCTCTTCCATTGTGGTACAAAACTTATTCTCATGAAGTTCTCTACATTTAAGTGAAATTTAGGTAGCTGCAGAACTCTACTTATTACTTTCTGCTCTGACTCTTTGAGCTTAGTTAGCTCCCCCCTCTCCCCCGTAGCTATTTATCAGAGGAACTAATGCCGTAAAGAAGATCATATGAAGAATTTTAAAATATAAAAAGTAAGAAGCAGTATGAATTATTTATTTATCCTTCTTCACCTTCAAAAACGTTGTGGAAAAAATGGTTTTAAAAAAGCAGAGTAAAAAAAAAACTTCCAAGTCACAAGTGGCAAAATCCAGGTTTGCAGGATATAATTTGTTTTGAAGTTGACCTCAGGAATCTACAAGTCAGAGCAGACATGCAAAATAAAGGCACAAGCAAGAAGACATTCATTAATGTATTTATTAAATCAATGTATACGACTGCCCTTCTCACAGATGGGATGCTGGGTAATACTAATACATTAAACCATACAAAAAAAAATTTGCCCCAATATCAACAAAACACATGAAACCTCTACAGTGGTGATCAAGTGTGAACCTTATAAGCACTTAACAACACAATGATACCTGATTTCACAGGCCATCTAACATTTCTGCTCTGCCCCTTGGAGCACATTCCTGTGTTCAGTGCTTTGTGAAAGGCTGGAAGAATTGGAGCCAATCTAATCTTGGTACAGGGTTGGGTGGGATGGGGTGGGGGATATGGAGTTCAAAGGGCAAGTGCTGTGTCAAAATGGCCTGCTTTCCGCACCCCATTTGATGGCCTTGTTTAATTGAGAGGACTCAGAGCATGCTTTGACTTTCAGATCCTACAGGAAGGGTAGAAACAACTAGGGAAAGGGGGGTTCTGCAAATAGCCCTGTTCCATGCCATGTTATAACTTAATTTAAAAGTTAAGGAACACAAACTCTCCTGAATACATTTGTCCCTGCCTGGACAAATCCTTGCAGATTTCTTGGCAAGGTTTTCCAGAAGTGGTTTGCTATTACCTCTTTCCAAACAGCTCAAGGTTTGTACCCAAAGCTGGACTACAATATACAGTCTCCCAGGTTCTAGTAGTAGTTAATGCCTTAACTACTACATCAGCATTGGTTCTCTGTCAATCTATCACAAAATACCTAGACATTATCAATGGGATCCAATTTACATTTTGGCCATTCCTGAACACAATTTCATTGCATCAGGCAAATAACTTATGCAGTGTATAAACTCTCATTTACTCTCAACTATTCAGATCTCAAAATCCACAGACGTTCATTTCTGTGAATATAAATTTACTCAATATAAGTACATGCTGAACTGCTTCATCCAGAGAGCTAAACCATTAGCATTTACAGGGGGACCCAGATTTTATTTTCCTCAAACATTCTAATGTTGTCTGTTCTACTCATACAAAAGCTGAAGTGCATTTATAGTATGATCTTGCAACTTGGGATTGGGAGACAAGCACAAGAGGAAACTAGCATTACAATCAACCACAAGGTGGTAGCATATCTTAGATCTAAGCAACTCACCGAAACGTATTCGGAAAAACAATTTATTTCTGTTGCATACTTTTCCTTCACCAGCCCAACTGACCCTGAAATTTATGGCGGGGGAATTTTCATGCACTTTGGTTTAAATCTGACTTGCACTTTTCCTTGCATTTCCAGCTGAAAGATTTTTCCCAGATGGAGAATATACAACATGAAGAAAATGCATCTTCCAGACCAATGGATAAAAGCAGGATATGTATTCATTTAAGAACCTTATTTTGTGAGTGAAAAACAAAAGTAAAAAAGAAAAAAACATAAATGCATCTAGTCCAACACAGAAAAGCAAGATATTTATTCACTTTAAGAACTTTATTTTGTCATTAAAAAGCAAAAGTGAAAAAAACTGGGGAAAAAAGTAAGAAGCAAAAGGATCTCAAGTTAGAAAAGGATCTCTCTGGTAGAAAATGTTTTCCAAAACTGCAGTTTATTTTTGGAAATAGTTTCTTCTCTGAAAAACAGGGGGAAAGGAAAACCCAAAGCCTCTCCCTAGGACATCCCAGTTCATTGCACCATCCAGGATTTGCCACAGTTACAGATAGCCACACCCAAGCAGCAAACAGTAGGAGGGAGGGAACTGGGAATTTCCCTGCTCCAGATTAAAGTTTATATATTAGAAACTCTTGATGGCCCCAATGATTTTCCTACTAAATGCATGATCTATGTAAAATAATTGTTATGAGATTGGAGACCACAATCAGCAAAGGCAGCGCTGTCTCCCAACAAATGCTTAGATCTTTTAGGCTGTGCCTTTCCAATTCCCAGTGGTTCTGCAGCCCTTTCATGATCGTGATAGCTTAGCTGCCCACTTAAAATGCAGAAGAAATCTTAAGCACCCATGGATTGATGCTAGTATATCCAGTCATAAACTGAACACAACTAAATGCTAAGTTTAAGAATGTGGGAAACAATTCTGATTTATGATCATCCTTCTCCCATCAATTAAAACTGGAAAAATATGACCAAATGCCAGTCATTATCATCTCTTTTGCAGTTTATGTTTCAAAGAAAGGAGGGGATGTATCGAAACTTTCAGTCTCTAAGGAAGGGTGGCAGACCCTCCCTTACTCAGTATGTTCAACTTTAGATTCAGTTCCAAAGTTGCAAGGTCAAGTGCCCAGCATAAAGCTACGCAGGTAAAAATCGAAGAAGTTGGCACTTCCCTTTACAGTAATACTAGCAAATTGAGTAGAACAAAAATTGACCTTTGATCTCATTCTGAGAACATCAATTATTCCAAGGAAAAAAGTGATTCAGACTCTACTTGTCCCTATGAGCTTAGTTTTCATGTTTTGTCAGTCCCGGAAGCTGCTGGCTCGAACAACACAATATTCTGGTCTTCACAACTCTGTCCTGCCTTCATGGGAGGCAAAATCAGAGCTAAAGGGAGAAGTGGGGGATTCTGGCGTCTAGACACTGAAACTAGGATCCTGTGGAGGCTGAATTAGCTAGAGGAAAAAGCAGATCAGGCTAAGGGGTAGAAAAAATGCATTTTGTTCAGGAAAAAATACCTTTAAAAGAAATTATTTTGGTAGACACAAAGAGAGCTCCTGGCATGTTTCATCATAGACTAGGCAACAGAAGAAAAGGAAAAAGTGAAATCTGAAATATGTATTCACAATATGGTCTGGAACACAATTCTTTGGACACTTTGTCCAAATTTAGATAAACCAGGGAGAGCAAGCATGGGCCCAGTCTATCCAAACCCGTGTCTCTTCAAACAGGCAACATTTCCACATTCTTATTCAGGATTTAAAGTCAACAATCAAAGTTTTCCTTTCCCACACTGGCTCTATAGTCTCAAAAAAAAAAAAAAGCAACTGTGGTTGTCCCAAGGCTCATATTTCAACAAAGAGAATGATTCTTTGGTGGCCAGCTGTGTCACACTCAGACTCAAGCAGCAATGTTATACTCCTCATGAGGTTAACTTTCCCATATGGACGTTAGGATGTTCGGCTGGAGCACATCACAGGCTTTCCAGAGATCTTCAGGTCATCAAAAGGCAAAAGTGTAAGGATCTGTCAACAAATAATGATACAGTGGCGAGTCAAGAAGGTTGCATACAAAAAAGCTAGCATTGCCACTTTAGCATGGAGAAAATCCATCCTTGCGGTTGCTAAGAGTCGACATTGACTCAATAACTTGACAGTGTTATTAATCATCACTTCAATCAGTGACAGAAACACAAAGCACAAACAGTTTGCAAAGACTGTCAGCTATCTAGTGTGGTCAGAAAGAGCAATAAACTCTATGGTTAAACCCTTCTACCCGTTATGCAGGAAGATACTTTGTGATATTTTTCCTACGAAGAGCAGGATATTCACAGTTAATTTACTACATATGATCCCTTTCTATGTGTTTTGGGGACTAACAAGTTCATGGAAGAAAACAGATCACCCATGTGGACACTCCAAACTTTCCTAAACAAGGCTATATTCATCCACTATAGGTACTTTGGTGGTTCTCAACTTTTGGCCACAACAGAGCCTGAAAAATGTGTTGTTAGTTTGGAGCAGTTATTAAGTGAGACACGTTACTAGGACACTAGTTTGAATTCTATCCTAATATATAAAAATATTCTTTTTTTAAAAAAAAATATTTTTTTCATGATAATCTAGCAACTTCCTCCACATCAAGACCATGAGTTTTATTCTACAAAGAAAGAATACTTTGTTCTAAGATGTCAGGGACATAAGATATTACGCATTGATAGCCTTTCTTTCCTAAAGGAGACTAGGCTTTAATGTTTTATTTCCCTAAACTACCTAAGAGGTGAAGTAAGGCAGGCAACATGCCAGCAAATAACTAAAGGTCACCATTGGAAGTAACAGGAATCAATCTCTCTTAAGTACAATGCAGAAGTCTATCCATTCTATCATAGAAGACACCAGAATGGCCCTGGTCTCTGCAGTGGGTTGTGATTCATAGCAGGAATCTGTGCATGTAGGCTAAGGGTGCCCAATGGCCTTTGATTTCCATTTCTATCCATTGTCTATAAATTAATAATGAAGACAAACACTATTCAGCTTCAGAGTAAAATCTGGTACTCAATTTGACATACATGGAGTTCTGGTTTGCTTAGATCCTCATCTTCCTGATGTAGGAAGGACATCAGTTATCATCCTGATTCATTGCAGCACAATTGATGAAGTCTGCCTATCCTGCCTTGCTTGGAACTGAAAGACGTTACAATGATGCCAAAGCAGTAACAACCCCAAGGCAGATTAGCCAGTTTAGCAGCTCCTCCCTGCACGTAGCCTTTAAGATTAAGATCAGATGGATGTGAACTGCAATTTGGCAAATCAAAGATGCAAGGATCATCATGGAAACAGAGACAAGTGCAGTTACCAGAACTCCCAATTCTTGCCTTTTCGCTAAACATCATGTGCCGAAACTTAAGAATTGCACAATACAACTTGTATCTCTGCCTTACCTTCAGATTGGGAGTAGGCAACCTATAGCTAATTAGCTTCCCAGCACCCTGGAAATGTGCAGATGAAATTCAGGGGCAAAATAGCTGCATTCTAAAGGTGAGAGGTTTTGCAATTAACATTGGGACTGAGAACCTTCTAGGAAGGATACTGCTTCTATTTTCTTTCTGAAAACCATTCAAATACAATTCAAAATTGACATTTTTTTATATTCCCATTTTTTGGCCTTGGGGTTGGTGTTTAGTGTGGGAATAGAAAGCCTCTCAGAGTTAGGTGGTGCTATCCCTTGCTTTTAACCCCTTTAGCCTCCAAATTACTTTCTAAAAAATGACCAGCTCCCTTTTCCAATTCTTAACATCCCTTTCAACAGGCCAAATATTTAAATACTCCATTTTGTGTTGTCACTGGGTGGCTTTTTGCCTTCTAGAAAATAGATAGACTGAAGTTGGCTTCCAGACTCTCAAAATGATGCCCATCCTTATTTGGCACCTGATTCAGATTACTTAGCTTTTGCCTATAGAGCCTGATCTATTGCAAGTCATTCCAGAAAAACTCTCACATCATCATTGCCATCTGCCAGATCTTGAGCTGTCTCATTTTCCATATTCCGCAGTAAGGTATCTGCTCCCGAATGGCACAGGATTGCAGCAATGGCAGCATCGTTCCTGCCTACAGCCAGGTGCAGTGGGGTGCAGCCATTGTACATTTGAGAATCCACCTGGGCCCCCCATCGCAGGAGGTGCTTCACAGCCATCTCATCATGATTTTCCACTGCCAGATGTAGGGGTGTCTTTCCACTCGTGCCATCCTGAGAGAGCAAGAGACAGGGGGGTTAATTATTTCACAAGATTTCATGAGCAAAATTCCATAGAACATACCTCTTTCTGTGTAGATACAGTAAGAAACCAAGTGTCAGGCTTTTCCTATTGCAAAAGCCTGACACTCCTTGGCCTTTTGAGTAAAAAGGATAGCAGTGAAAGCCAGTTCCAAACACAAATAAGAGAAGGGAAAGTTCTTTCCTGGGCCATGGTGCATCTGAGTAATTCAAACAAAATAAGAGAAAGAGAAAGTTCTTTTCTGGGCCATGGGGCACCTGAGATACAAGCAGTTTGCTGAAATCTAGAAGAGCCTAGGGAGGAATCACACTGGCGTAGCAGTTCCTAAATCAGAGTCTGAGCATTCTCTTCCTGAAGATGCAAAAACTGAACAAGGAGCTCTGAAGTAATCAGGATTGTACATAATTCTGAAATGGTCATGGCTCCTTGGAATTGATATTGACTCCTGGGAAGTAGGATCATGTGGATGATCGTCATTTGGTTAGCAGCAATGCAGAACTGATTTTTTTATTGCTTTGTTCCAGGATGTTTCTTTCTTGTTGTTGATATGTTTGTTGGTATCCCAGTCATCTCCACAGCCAGGCAACCTCCCAGCCTGCTCTGACCCTGTTTAGCTTTCTAAAATCAATATTCTGTTGATGGCACATAATCACTAACTAAATTCAAATTTCATTCTAAAGGTTTTATCATGTAAGTTTAAAAGTTATCCTGTTTCATTTGCACAACGGAAAGGAAGAGAAGATAGGCAAAGCTACGGCTCATTTTTTTCCCCTTTTGTTCAGTTATGTCCAATTCTCAGTGTCTCCTGGATAAGTTCCTGAAATTTAATTGGCAAAGAATTTAAAAAATGGTTTGCCATTGCCTCCTTCCTAGGGCTGAGAGAAAGTGACTTGGGCCCCAGATCATTCAGCTGGTTTTGTGCCCAAGGCAAAACTAAAAATTTGTGGTTTCCTAGTTTCTTAGCCTGATATTTTAACCACTATATCAAACTGGCTCTCACATAGGCACGTTAGCTTTCTTGTATCCCTTCTCCCCACTTTTGGAGATTTTGGAATAGCACTCCCTATATTTTTAATATTAGATTTAGCCATTCCAATACTGTCAAGCACCCTGGAAATCAGGAGATTCAGGCAATTCAAATGAACATAAAGATTTATTGCAAGCTTAAATTCGCTGTAGGAATCTGACCAACTAATGGTCAAGAGAAATGAATGGGGGATAAGAAAGGCATTTGAAGGTAGGCTGGACTTGGATCACTTGGGAGTACATAGGGACTTGTGACTTATGACACTTTTGACGTGTTGGGTTCAGCTGGGTGATCTACATCTACTTCTTATAAAGCCAATTTTTTAAATTCTGCAGCCTGCCAAATTTTCTGCTAAGTAAGAAATTTTCAGAATTGACATACAGTATATCAGAGATGGAGCTCTGCTCAACGTCCCTAACTTACCTGCACATTAATGTTAGCTCCATTCTGCACCAATAACTCCATCAGTTGAAGGTTCCCTTTCAAAGTGCTGATGTGAAGACACGTTAAGCCTGGAGGGAGAAAAATAAAACCCAAATAGCTCAGAAGCACTGACTTTTAACACTCATCAGACACAATCACACCACACACTCCTTTACCTTGCCAATTCTGGAGCTGCAGATCTTGTACAGTTTTTCTAGTCTGCATCTCAGAGACTGGTTTCTTCAGAAGCAGCAACAGCTCAACACATTCCAGACTCTGCCGCTCACAGGCCAAGTGCAGAGCAGTATTTCCATTGCGGTCTTGCAGTGCTGTGTTCACCCCTTTCAGAATTAGTGCTTCCACCACTTCGAACTGCTCCAAATACACAGACAAGTGAAGCGGAGTCTGCAAATGGCAAAAAGAAAAAAAGAGAAAAAAGAGGAACGTGGGCTGGAGAAGAGTGGAGCGGCAAGGAAAGTATGCAAATAAATCTAACAAACAAACAAATTTGGATTCACTTGGATTTTAACTGCATCACAAGAAATAAAAAATTCAGCAGTAATGCAAGGTTTAGCATGCTGAAAATAAGGAAGGAGAGCAAGTGGACAATGCCTAGAAGACAATCCTCTAAATACAGCACTTGGTCCTTAATAGAATATCTAGTGATTAGAAGGTGTCCATGCTCATAATTGGTTCTTTATTCCTTCCTCTGATTGGCAAAGGACAGAAAAATCTATTCAGAATAAGAATATTTTAAATATCCAAATAATGAATAAAGCTGATGATCTAAACAAAATCACAATAAAAAACGATTATCTTCTGTAATATGAGGCACTGATGATCAAGATTTTTTTTTGGACACGCCAGGGATCTAAAGCAGATTTTCTTTATCATTTTTGGTTCTTAAATTATATTAAATTATATTCTACACTGATGTGCTATGTAATTGTCAACAAACCAGAGGTTATCAGACGCCTGAGATTTGTAAAGTTATTTTTTTGTGCTATTTCAAGAAATTTACAATCTTAAGTATTTGTAATGTATACTCAGGTTATTTAGTAGCTGCTAAAATAAATATACTTGTACAATACTAGAAATCAATGTAAGCAATTTGTAGATGGATTAATGAAGGTTTAGTACTGGTTTTACAATTAATTTATTTATCCAGTGGTCAGCATAGCTCAGATAATAATGATAAATTTAAACAAAAGGGTTATTAACTAAGAAATAAAATTCCAATTAGGATACAGAAATATATTTTTTTTGCTATTTTAGAAATTCTATTTTAAGAAGCAAAATAAAGAGCCAGTGTCATCTTAAATAATATAGGTTAAATAATTGGAGTATCCTGATGAAAAAATGTATTAATTGGTTTAAATTTCAGAAGGTACAAAATCCTGGAGGAAAATGAAGGGCCTATACAAGCTTTCAATTCTGTCTTACATTGGAGGGGTTTTTTGGGGGGGGGATGGTATACACTTTACTGATGCAGATGCATATCTGTGTATTTTGATGATTGCTTATGTGCCATCAAGTCATTATTTTTGAATCCTACCAATCAGTATTCTCATCCCAGTTCTTATCTGGATTTTCCTTTTTATTATTTTATTTATTATTTTATTTATTATTTATTTATTATTTTATTTATTATTTTATTTATTATTTTATTTATTTATTTATTATTTTATTTATTAATTATTTTATTAATTATTTTATTTATTTATTTATTTATTAGACTTATGTACCGCTTCATAGGGCTTTCAGCCCTCTCTAAGCGGTTTACAGATTTTTAGCAAATTGAGTCAGCAAATTGCCCCCACAGTCTGGGTCCTCATTTCACTCACCTCAGAAGGATGAAAGGCTGAGTCAACCTTGAGCCGGTGAGATTTGAACCACTGTACTGCAGATAACAGTCAGCTGAAGTGGCCTGCAGTACTGCACTCTAACCACTGCGCCACCTTGGCTCCTATAATTAGACCCGAGTTTTGAACTTGTAGCCCTCCTTGAAGAGACACAAGTTGTTGTATTATTTATTTATTTAATTCTCCCCGCCTCCAATGATTTGCGGGGGCTTACAATTTTAAAAAAAATGCTGCACTCAAAATACTAAAAACATTTTAAAACAATCGAAACAGAATGTTTTTGTCTGTTAAGGAGATCGTTAGCTTCTTGGCATAAGAAATAATATAACAAAATCCCAGAATGTTACAGTGAAGCAGAGTAGATCTTTATGTTTAAATCGCTTTTAGAGTATAGGCAGAAAAATTTACTTATCATCAAGAGCACTTTAACAACCAGCCTTAGATTATTACCACACTGCAACTTGCTCTCCTCCAGCCAGAATAGAAGAAACCCTGATCCTTCTTCATGTCTCTTACCACCTACTTGGAATAAATCATTCTGGAATTCCAAAACCTCCACAGGCATTTGGGCAATGCAGAAGGACGCAATAGATGGCACACAGTGGATGATTGCCAGGTGCAGTAACCTGAGAGGGAAAAAGATTAGTCATGCCAACCTGTAAAAATAAAGAATGACTTCCCTTCAAGCAAAGAAAGCATTCCTATGTAGCAAAGCCACAATTGCTCATTTATGTTTAGCTCTTAGAAGTAACTTGCTTATTGGAAAATTGAGTTCAAAGTTACAACTGCACTAAAAAAAAAGTAACTAATGACCATTTTTCGCATTTATGACTCTTGCAGCATCCCCACGGTCACATGATTTACATTTGGATGCTTGACAGCTGATTCATACTTATGACGGTTGCAGTGTCCCAGTGACATGCAATCCCTTTTTGCAACCTTCTGATGAGCAAAGTCAATGGGGAAACTAGATTCACTTAACTGTTGCTAATTTAACAGCTGCAATGATTCACTTAATAAATGCGGCAAGAAAAGTCGTAAAATGGGACAAACTTAATAAATTTTTCACTTAGCAACATAAATGTTGGGCTCAATTGTTGTCATAAACTTTTTGATGGATCAAAAAGTGAGGCACACATTCTTAACAACTGCCCCACCAACTTAATCAAAATTGCCATAAAATAAATGCAAGGCTATCAATATTCAAATGCAAGCCAAATATCTGTTTGCTTTTAAAGCACGCAAACAGATAAAGAGGTCGGGTTGGATGAGTTCAAAGACGGGCAGCAAAATTAAGTAATGCCATGCAGAAAGGTTCCCTTACATTCTTTCAACTAGATCCCAATCAATCTGATCTAAAAGAGAATTTTATTTCAAAGGAGAAAAAAAGTTTAGTAAAGTTTCCATCACTGAAGATTGGTATTCTTGCACTTACGGAATAACAACATGGCTAAGGAGTATTTTTGAATATACAATTCTTCATAGTAAATCGTTTTTACAGTGATCTTTAGCTTTCCTGATTATTGTTTAGTAATTATATTTTAACAGAAAAACATCACGATGAATAGTCTTTTCTACAGATTGGGAAATTGATTGAGCAGCCACCCAGGAGACTCCAGAGTAAGGAAAGAGGTGTAACAGAAACCAGTTAGTCCAGTGAAACCCTTTAGCATGCCCAACAATAAAATCAGCTAAAACTGCAACCAAGAGAAAATGCAAGAGAAAATTTCAGCCTTCCCCAAAGTATTGTAGAAAAAGAATATTTAGAAAAACAAAACAAAAAAAGAAACTGCAAAATGGTTGTAACCCTGGATTGATTTAAGGCATGTGTGGGAGGGACTCAGATTTCTTCAACTTCCTTACAAGTGACATCAAGCTCTCCTCCAGTGAGAAAAGGCAAGAGAAGAAATGGTGGTACAGACACATCTACATTTCCCAGTTATTATAAAATAGCTGAACAGGGAACAAGTTTCAGTCAAAGTACTGTAGCAAGGCTGGATTCTGAAGCTTTACAGGAATTCTGGTTTTCCCACTCTATCATAGTTACTCAGAGAAGGGCAGAAGGCAAAGGCAGTACCAAAGCTATATCTTCATTAAGGATGTCAGTGTATTAAGAGCAAATGATGGTGGTGGTACTATTCTATCTTTTCTGTTTTTATTTTTTTTTAAAACAAAACACTTGGTACAGAGTGTCCCTAGATTTCGTTGTTTCGTTTTGTTATCTAGAGATTGCATTTCGGAAAGAAAGCTGGCTACTATTCTGCTCCAAACTGCCTTCCCTGCCTTCCGATATCGTAGTGAGGCTACTTGTGCCCCCCCCGGAAGCAGGCACCATTTTGGAATAGACCAATTATTAGACTAATTGGGCCAAGCTTTTATGGAGGTTGAGCAGGATGTGTAGAACCCAACAGGGTGAGAAAGCATATTGTAATTGTATGAATTAAATGGAAAATGTATGTATGTATGTATGTATGTATGTATGTATGTATGTATGTATGTATGTATGTATGTATNCCCAGGGGTGTTCAAACTTGACAGCTTTAAGACTTTAAAGTTTAGATAGGACTCTTAGAGGCGGGCGGGGCTATTGGTGAGCCAGCCAATCAGTGAGTGGCGGGTAGGGTAAGCGTAGTGCGGATGGGCAGGGGGAGGGAGCTGGAACTGTTTCTAAACAGCACGGTAGATTTGTGGAACCTCTTCTATAGAAGAGGTTAGAACTGGCAGGAACCCACCCCTAGCATGGTCGCACTCTGCACCAATACACTAGAAAAGCAGCTGCACTACCCAGCTGCTTACTTCTCTCTTTGATTTCCAAAAGCAAAAGATACATTTTAAAAAAACGCACAAACTTTTCCTTTTGAAAAAAAACTGGAGAATTTTTTGTTATTATTATTAATAATAATTATTACTATTATTATTATTTTGTTATATAATAACTTTGTGATTATATATATTGACAGCAGCAAGTATATTGTATGCACAAAAATGGAAGGGCACTTTGATTCCTACTATGGAAGAATGGTTGCAGAAGTTGATGGAATTGGCCGAAATGGCAAAACTGACTACTTTGATTAAAGAAAAGAACATAAGTACTTTTGTTTCCATATGGACACTGCTTTTGAACTTCGTGCTTGATGTAGAAAAGAATGAAACGTTGATTTTGGGTTTTACCGAAAAATTGATAGATCTTTGCAGAAATGGCTTGTTCATATTATTATGAAAAAGCTAAAAGTTATGATTTGATGTTAATGCCTTATTTTACTGCAACAGAGAGTTGGAAGTCAATGCTTCTTTTCTTTTTTCTTATCTTTCCTCGCTTCTCTTCCCCCTTTTCCTCCCTACTGCTTTTCTATTTAATTTTGTATTTTACAGTATTTTATAACTCAATAAAAATGTTAAGCTGGATAAAAGCACATAGATATCTCATGTGTGCAATTACCTAATTTCAAAATACTTTTTTTTTCTAGGAGAACAACTCTAGTTACCATCCAAAACAGAGGACATTTGTTGCCCGAGTAAAATTCATGGGAAAAGTGCATCTGTGGAAAATTCGCAAATTCACACTAAGACAGTGAGTGGGAATGTTCCCGTGCCTGATCAAACATGTCATGAGGCAAGAGAGGGTGGGAGTGAAGCTTCAGCAGCTGCTGTTTACTTGACCTTGCCCTGGATATTACACCGTGAAGTGGGAAGAAAGCGGAACTGCCGATTGTACACCTGCTAGGCTAGGGAATAACCCAGTTGCCGAGCCAAGGTTGAAGCTGTAATTCCGCCCTCCCAAATTGGCTGAGTGAGATGAGAGAACAGAAGAGGAACCCAGTTCCACTATTAGCTCCTCTTTGCTATGCAAAGCTGTTCATGTAATTTTCTCATCACTTTCCATTTCCTTAGCCTAGTGGTATGGAATCCATGTTGATGAATCCAAGAACAACATCTAAATGAAACAGGCAAAGTAGGATGGCATCCATTGTAGTTTCAATCAATTTCCAGAGGCTTTCTGTAGATCAGTTACAATATTATCACTCAGAGATCAAAAAGCGGGCAAAGATAGAAGCCTCCAAATTTATGAAAGGTTACTGGAATTCAATTGAGGCTGGATTCCAAGACCCATGTATTCCTCTATACCCTTCTATTCTAAGACAATCTACCAACATGCATCTCACTAATATTCAGATTACAAAATAGCAGAGATGCCTTTAGTATTGATATTCAGACAGTAGCTCAGCAATTCTTTGCACAGCATGGTGTATTTCACAATTGAATAGTCTGCAAGAAATGTCAACTTCTTTGTAATGGAACTGGGGTTAGAGGAAGGCAGCCTTAAGGCAAACGGGATCAACCATGTAGAACTTCCTATTGTCTGGGCTACAACACATGGATTAAAATGTTGAGAGAAATAATTCCAACACATCTGGAGATTGGCATATAAGACATTACTAGAGTAACGTGTGCAGAATTGGGAGAGATTAAGCAGGCGTGCCCTTTTATTCTGTTAAAAAGTTACAAAATAATATTATAGTAAGTGAGGTATTATTGATTCTGACTGGTTTCTAGGACCTTAGACACAGCCTTTTCTATCACCTACCGTGTTTCCCCGAAAATAAGACAGGGTCTTATTTTCTTTTGACCCCTGAAATAAGTGCTTGGCCTTATTTTCAAGGAGGTCTTATTATTTTTGAGGTGCAGAAGGTGGTGAGCATGGTCACCTCATGGTTGCTACTGTGTCGTAATATTTCCAGGGAGGGCTTATTTTCAGGGGAGGCATTATTTTAGCGCATGCGCGCAAAAGCTCGATTGGACTCATTATCCAGGGAGGTCTTTTTTCAGGGAAACAGGGTACTATTTCACTCTAACTAGAATAATTGAGCATTAAATTCAGATTGTTTTGAATGCAAGACAAATGTTCTACTGCTCACTTCTGAATTGGCTGAATTCTGATGGCTTAATAATATATGTGAGATTAGAAGTACATACAAACCTTCCTGACATATATGTCCCTAATTGTTTTAGCCTCCAATTCTCATTGACTTTAGCCAACTTGGCCAGTTGACAAGGATGATGGAAGATGTAGGATAAACAATCTGGAGGGATTCATGTTGGAAATCATATTCTTGCCTCATCATAAACTTTAAAAAATACAAGAAACCACACTACTAAAAGCAGAATATATTATGTGATTCTCCCCAACGTAGACCATGCTAACATTTGAGCTGTTAACAATAAGAATAAGAAAACAAAAGGAAGGAAATATTGAATTTGTTGTTTCAACAATCAGCTCTCTCTCAAAAAAAAAAGTCAGAAGGGGAATTCCATGCTTCCTTTGTGTTAATTTTTTAAGATCATCATTCTGACCTCTTCTGCAAAGGAATGACATTGTTCAGTAATAACATTTGCAATGTTTTAGTATTTAGAAATTCTTATATCCTAATCAACACTGCTCCCTGCTATTTAAGTTTTGCAGCATTCCTAGAGTTTTACACACCTTTCTAAATAAATAAATAAGCAGTCTCATAATAGCAAGAGATGTATAGCATTTTAGAATACAGGAATCCGAAGGTGAAGACATCAGAAAATTACTTTTACCTTAGGGTCAACAGTACATTTCACCAACGTATTTATGTTCTTC